GCTTCGCGTGATTTTTGTCCCTGGTCGTCTCCTCTGTGATGGCCACTGAGGACCCGTGCACTGAGATGTGTTCTGATGTGAGTGGATGTGCGGACTCGAAATACGGCTCTTACTGCAAGTACTGGGAAGCTCCCTCCGTCTGTTTCGGTTTGATTGAGAGGAATGATGGATCGATTGGCTTCGAGCCCACTGATCCTAACTGTGTTGGTGAGGCTTTGGCTTGCGGCGGTGTCCAAGCAACGAATAAACCGACTACTACAACTAACCGCGCTACTACTGCGCATGGATGTGAATTGATCAACAAGCGGTTCCTAATCCATTATCGTATTTTCAAGAACAGTAGTTTGCACACAACTCGATCCCAGTCCATTGCTATAGGTTACACAATACCGCACCATCCAGAACACGTTGAATTCTACGACAAATTGTTTTCGTGAATCGTTACCAGTACTGAACTCCCCTTCACGAAGTTTACACGATGTTAGTATAACACATGAACTTCTAACTTGTAGGCGCCGGATTGGGCAACTCCAAACCAAAGTCTTCAAACTCATGCTCGATCATAGCTAAGTCCGTAGCTAAGTCCATCGATGAGCCCCCCTGGTTGAGAAAAATACACATCTTTGAAAGCTCACATTGCGAGCCTTACTAGCGTCAACGAGAAGACTTTCTACTTCAGCAGATCTAAAGTAACTCTCGTAGACTCTCACGAGGACTCAAGAAAAATCTACGGCAGATCATGACCATGCCATTCGATGGTGATGATTGCGTGACCTTTGGACACATCAACTTTGGACATAAAAGTGTCGAAAGCCCTTTGGACAGCGAGGGTTGTCAAAACGAATCTCAGGACTAAGTTTTGGACAGTTTGTCGAAAAACTACCCAAGTGAGTAGTTTGGACATGAAGTTGTCGAATATATTTTTTTCCTCAAGAAGTTGTCCAATTACGCCTGTAGCGACCTTTGGACAGATTTTTGATCAATTGGACATGTTTGGACAACATTTAGTAATCTGGACTACAATGTGTCGGAATGTGGCACAGATTACCTTTGGACATCTGTCTCGAATGCGCTCGCCCATAAATGTTTCAAATTTTTCTGACAATGTAATTCCTGATAGCTCCTTAATAGTATTAGCTTTCGATGAGGCTATTAATCTTCTCATTTTTGCGACACGAGAGCTGATAAGATGAGATGGCGATGTTAAAAAAAAACCAAAAAAACAGCGGAGATGGACTGGTCACCCTCGCCGACTATCGAAGACCTCAAAAGCCGCTGATGTGTGCATTGGCTGGCCGCCTAGCCGAAATCGGCTTCGAGCGAGAGAGAGAGAATCTTTTAGTCGGTGTTGTCTTTGCATTATGGCTGAGACTGCAGTAAGGATAGTGTACCGGCACTTCCTACCATGTGAGAGCGTGGATGAAGTTGATTGTGCTATTTGTCTTCTACCTGGCGATGATCTAGATGCAGTCCGTGGGGCTATGATTCAATGTGATGGGTGTCGAAAATGGTATCACTGTTTATGTAGTGGTGTCCAAAACGGCGATGCCACTAGCGATGATCCTTGGTATTGTTTGTCATGTAGAGCTCGCAAGGCTATTATGGGGCCTATTGATGTTAATCAAGTGGTCGTTCCAACAATTAAATTTCTTTTGGTGGGAAATATATCTTTTACTGAAACACATCAAAGCTTATTTCAGAAATATCAAAGATGTATTGGAGTAGTGGACCCCTTCGTATGGTCTTTCTCCGTTCCGTGATGTGCAAATATCTGACTTATGGATGGACAATAAGGGCATAATACTGTGTATCAATGTGGCTGACTCTCGGTATGAGATAGGAGATGAAGAGCTAAGTGAGAACCGTGATAATAGCGGACGATCATTCTATGTGAAGTATTTTGAAATAGAAGGATCGAAACTTTAATAGTCATTTGTCGTATCAGCTGCTCTAACACAGCATGTCTATTATTTCGACTCGTTGCGAAGCTGTAAGTATTCGTAGCATTCCGAAGTATTTTATGTTATTTATTGTACTCGAGGTATTTGGAGGTGGAACTCCTATCCAATAACAAAGTCTGTAATGCAATCAGTTTACATCAGTATTATCAATTTTCATCAGTCGTAATCAATCCTTCTCCTGATCGTTATGAGTTGAGTTTATACATTACTCGCTAAGTTATGGAGAAATTAGTGAGATTATCCGTGAGATTATCAAACTCCCATTCCCGTTTCCAGTAGGAAAATAACCAGATATACCAGGCTATAACCAGATATACCAGGCTATAACCAGATATACCATTTTAAATGTCCTTATCATGTTGTTTCAATTCTCACGATCCAACAATGTTATGGTCGAACACAATACGAGTGCAACGTAGAATGATTCTACTAGAATCAGGTGCGAAACAATAGTCAACTGCCATTTCGCAACGGAGGTGTATATCACACTGAACTCAACACAGAAATCTATGCAATCCTCAACGCTCGAAGCAATATTACGGGAGACAGACGGTGTAAAAAATCGGTGTGTACACGCTTCATGAACATTGCTCAGCTATGGATCATAGCCAATGACTGACTT